GAATCATATATATGAGGTGTGTGACTGGCACTAACCTGGTTGCCATTCTACCTATACCGAGAGAAGATGGCCATACATGGTGACCCTGTAGGGAGCGAGAAGAGGCAGGAGGAGTAGGAGGAATAAAGCACAAGCTGTTTTCCCCAGGGTCTAAAACAGGCTCATCAGCTCTCAACCTTCACTTCATTAGCAGTACTGATTGTCACTTGCTCAGTGTATCGTGGTGTGTGTGGTGTGATGACGGGGTTGAATGGAGGGGGTTGCAGAAAAAGAAAAAGAGAAGCCGTAGGAGACGGTAGAGAAAGAAAGAGCAAGGAAAAGACAGAAAGGGAGAGAAAGCTGTCTTAGTCCCAAGCTGCCTGTGATTAATGTGAGGCTCCTTTCTCTATCGCCTCTTCTATTAACAGTCCCACTCTCCCAGACTGCCTCCACACTTGACCGCTCAAGCTGAGCTGCACTATCATGCACACACACACACACACACACGATGCACCCAACAGAAGCAATGAACAAACGAAGTCGTAGTCAGAGGTGTTCCTGGGCAGACCAATGACCCAGTGAAAAAGTTGACACAACTCCTCAGTAACACAACACAAAAATCTTTCAGTGTTGCCAAAAGGCACCTACCAACCCTCTGCCGCCACCATCACCAGCAACACCCCTCTCAAGACAGCCAAACAGAATCTGCTCCCTTCCACCCACCCACCCACCCACCCACACCTCGTCCTCCACCCTCCTTCCTCCCAGCATGCATTACAACAACATCAGCACTTAATTAAACAGTCCATTTCACACCTGGTGTGCATAGCAGTGCCCAGCCAACCCTGCATCCATATGCCGCCTCACCAGCATGCACTAGCGCAAGCCTCAACACGTGCACTCTCACACACAAACACACGCATACACAAAAACATTGCACACACCTGCTACTACAGTCTTGGCCATGCACTGACAACACAACACAAAGCCTGTAATCTGCATCGCTGTGTTGGGGGAGGGGAGAGGCACACAGTGTGTATTGCTGTGCCAGGGAGAGAAAGGAAGACGGTACAAGATGGCGGATGGAAATAAGAGGAGCTATCCTCTGTCCCTTCGGCTGACGGTGCAAACGGTACATTACGTTTAAATACCGCGCCAAAATCAGGAGAGGTGTAAGGCTGCTGTGTATAGGTAGAGTTAGGAAGAAAGGGGACGCAAATAAGCTTGTTTGTAAGTGTTTCAGGGACAGTCACGGCCTGCAGTGTTTTGCCTTTGAGAAACACACATACACACACACACACACACACACACTGAGCACAGCGAGGCTGAGCGAGCTCCAGGCAGGCTCCAGATGGAGAGGTCATAGACACACTGCCCCGCTGTCCCAGCATGCTCTGGGCTCCCAGAAACAAGGGAAGCCTCGGGCCACACACGCACACACACACACATACAGATACACACAATATGACCGACACCCCAGGTTCTTCACAAATCTACTAATTACTTCCTATCCCTCTTTTATCCAGCCAGCTCATTCCAACTATCTTGTATACCTTTATTTTCCCTCCCTTCATGTTCTCTCCAGGCAGTGCACTACGGTTGGTATGGACACAGCCATGAAACTCTTGTGGTGTTTATGTGTCTATGAGTGAGTAAGAAGAAACAACAGAGAAGATTAAACCCAGGGCTGCCTAATTAATCAGATATCAGCAGGTCTGCCTCTTTGAGGCAGTGTGTTAACTGTGTCTGTGTGCATTTGTGAGCATATGTGTGTGTTTTCAAGCAAGTGTGCACTGGATGAGAGTGTGTCCTTTATGCTGCTCCGATACTCATTATCCATCACCTCCCCTCTTCAACGCAGCACTCAGTACACAGAGCTATTCATTATACTCGCCACAGACAAGTGACAATGTATGTGTGTGCGCGTGAATGGGTGTGTGGGTTTGTATATAAACAGCAGTCGTGCTCAGGGTCTTAAATCAGTTCAGCAGCCGGTGGCAGTGATACTTGTACTCAAATCTAACTAATTCCTTCAGACCCGAGGACACTGAGTCATGGCACCTTGTATATACTGCACTATTTACCTCACAGCATCAACAGAGGGTGAGTGAGAAAGAGAGGCTGAGTCAAAAGGTAATGAGAGGACAGCAGGCTGCAGCATGCAAAGAAATCACGAGGCTTACACAGTTGAAAAGGCAACTGTTTGTATGTGTGGGGTGACTGGGTGTGTGCTCTGTATAAATACAGGCTCTGCAGACAGAGAAGGGGCTTGAGCTTCAGGGGGACTCATGTCTCTCTGCCCACCCTGGAGATGGTGCTCCTAACACAGGCAGTCAGCCCTTATGCCTGATGGCTGACTCACTGACACGTCACATCCTACTTCAATGAGGAAACAGTCAGCAGGACTCAAAATAATAAAGGGGATTTCTTTTTTGTTCTTTTAATAAAAAGGTGGTGAAGTTTTTATCAGACAGGATCAAGTATTTGTATGACATAGACAGAAGCTCTCTGTCTTGGCAGATTGTGAATTACAGATTGAAGTAGACACACTTTTTTCACCTTTTAACACAACAAAAAATAGAAACACACAAGAACTTGTATTTTGCTTTCCCTGTGTACTCTACCAACTAAGAAAAGGGGGCCATGTAACAAAGATAAGGGAAAAGCTGCATTTATAAAAAGGAGTCCACAATAAAAATGAAAAGGCAGTGTTTGACAGAGCGAGAGAGAAAACTGTGACAAAGTAAAGGGGCTGGCATGCAGGGTGGAGGGAGTGAAGAGAGTTGATGGGAAAGAAGTACTGAGGGGGAGGTGAGGAGAGGTTGGGTCTGAGTGCTCTCTATGGGTGTAATAAATCGTCTGCAGGGCTCTGGGTCCCATACTGTAGTGGGCTGGGGAGCAAGGTGTCCAGGGACAGCCAGAAAGGAGGGGACCATCTGATTTAGGAGCCAGAGCAAGGGTGGACAGCTGGGGTAGCTGAGCCTCTCTGGAGCCAAGGCACAGAGCCACATATACAAACACACTCACAAATAATGTCGTCCTATTGAGGTTCTCTTGTGTAGAATGTAGTTTATAACCTTATTTGTATGTTTACGTATGCACCGGTGACACTCGGGTACACATATTTAAGACATATTTGCATGGGTCTACGTAGTGGAGAGACTAGTTTTGCATAAAATGAAAAAACAAAAACAAAACAAAGCCAGAAATCTACAAGCAAAAATCCACAAAAACATTTAAAATGAAACATCTGAAGAGTGAATTCTGGTTGGTTCACAGTTATTAACAAGCAACTAAACCACTTAGTGGTTATTTCACATTCATACAGCTCCAACAGAGCAATTCTAGTGAAGTTTCATGTGTGTAACCACTGACAAGGAAGTATGTATGACAGTGAGTTGGAGAGTCAAGACACACACAGTGACAAGCAGGCCCAAGTGTACATGGATTCACATACAGCACCTTAAGTGGGTCAGCTAGAGTGGCTCCCTTCATACCAGCCTCTGTGGGGACACCAACTAATTTAACCCTATGTGGATATCCCTACATTGCTAATAACAGTTGAACACAGCTATGCTGGTCTTGGAGTATACATGCATGCACAAATATGAGCACTTCTATAAACACACACACACACACACACATATATATATATATATACACATATATATCTTTAAGTATATATGTGGACACAAAAAGGCTAAATATACAACCCACAGACAGCTTACAGGAAGTGCAAAACACCAAGTATGGCTATGTGAAGCAAGATTAAGATATAAGACACACCTGGAACAGGGTTTGGTATTATCAAAATATTTTCAGCTAACCACTTTACAGTCTGACCTTAATACCCAAATTAGAAACTCTAACCTTAACGTCGTATGGGGACCTATTATGTATTTTCCTGGAATACTAGAGTTGATTTGCATGAATCATTGTTCAAAATGACCTGTAGTTTACTCACACTGGCTCTTGCTTCTGCCCCTCAGTTCACCTTCTGTCTGAGAAAAGCTCCTTTAGCTTCATATCCTTTAAAAGCACCGTTTGTCTGATATGACCATATCGAGGCTACTCCAGCTCTAACAGTTAAACATCATTTTTCAAGTGAAAAACACAACAGGAAATGCTCACATTTAAATAAACACTATATATTGGTCTGTAAATTTACACTACTCAGTGCATATAAAACTATTAAGATCTCTGTCAATAAAAATAAAAATAATTCTTTCTTTATGTGAAAGGAACTCTTCCTACGGCACTACAGATCAGATTTTAGATGAGAATTCAACTTTCAGTTCCGTGTAACATCCCTGTCATATGGGCCGGCTGGCTTTACCTCGCGGTTCTTCTGCCTGTTTTGCCAGTTTACGGAGGGCTGCAGCAAATCCCGAATGAGTTGACTGGGCAGCTGGGCTTCCATTGGCTACGATAGAGCCATTGAGAGGTGACGGGGTAAGAGGGCTGACCGTCGCCGTGGTACGGGTCGCCGTGGAGATCATTCCTAATGATGGTGACTTTGGCTCATGGCTCATGCCTACAAATGAAGAACAAAGGAAGAGAATGGAAAAGTATTAGGGACCAATACTGCATTTCCATTAAAGAATGAGAAAAAATTCAAGGCATGAGGATCTGTGTAAATAAAAATACAGCGTGTGGTGCTGGGTTTCTGTTTGTGACAGCTGGAGAGGATGGGGGATCGGTGGTGTGAGGGGTTGAGGAGCAGAGGGGCTTTGGCTGTATGGCATAGGGTCAGAGGTGAGAGGTTAGGAGGGCAGGTCACTCTTTGTTTTGCTCAAAGAGCTGCAGTTGACTGCATGTGTGCCAGAGGTCCACGGTCATAGAGTTTACATAGCTCCTCTACTGAACATGCGCCAACATTACTACCTTTAAATAGAAATATCATATTTGTTTAAAAAATTCAGCACGAAAATATTCAGAGTGCCTTTCGGTTCCCTCACATAACCATCACTTAAGAAAATGTTTCTCACACTGACACTGAGCTTAATTGAAAAAAAACAAAACAAAACAAAAAAACACTACCAATAAAAGAAAATGCTGCGTCGCAAAGAGAAACAGACTTAATATAAAAGTGAAATTGATGACAGTCTGGGCTAGAAGAAGCTCTGATGGCTGAAGGGGTTAGAAAGGGTGAGGAGGGCTGAGAGGGTCTGTCCTTTCCTTCCTTCCTGTGTATGTGTGTGTTGAAAAGTGACACCATGTTGACAGCCCCACGGTCAGTGGAATCCCTAAATGCCAGAGCGGTGTCTGATACCCCTACGTGCTCAAGCAAAACACATACACGCACGCACGGACACACAAAGGAAGGCTCGGAGGACAGTTTAGCTTCAGACTCGAATAGCTTCTGTTACACAAACAATAACATACACACAGTTGTTCTGAATTCTCCCTTAAAAACAACATTTAAAATGAACTTTCAATGAACATGATGACTAAGATCTGCTTATTAAAAAGTAGCAGTTTGGCAAGCAAGTTCAGATCTCAGTTTTCCGCAGAAGCCTAGCAGAGCGACAAAGGTACATTTTCACTTTTAAGGGTACTTTTTCTATATTTAAGCCTAGCATCCCCACTACTCGGGTAATTTTGGCCTCTGAAAACAAAAAACTTTCTTGGAACAGTCCTGCATTTAGTATAAAAACTCCAGGATTTGGTTGGGCAGAAACAGAAAAATTTGTAAACAATGGTGCAAATGCCCACGTTTGTTTACCGATCTTATCAGTCACAAAAATTCAGCTAAGATTTTACAGTTCCCATTCATTTTAGGATTATATTTTACTCGTGTGGGTACTCCTGTCACTCTAAAATGTTGCCAGATTTGCTTTGCAATTTACGCTCTTATACTTTGTTATTTTCAGTGGCTTTTATGCGTTTCATGTTTGCATCACACACGCCTGTCCAGTGAATGGTCAATGTGATTTGCGGTTAGGTTAGCAAAGCTGAAGACCATTTCTGAAAGTGTGCACAACGGAGATTGTTTTCATTTTAAAAACACTGCTTTAAGTGAAAATGTATTATTGTGGATGTAGCCTGAGAGGGCTGTAAAAAGATCATTTTCCCTTCTGAGAAGAGAGCAGAAGCAGAGCACCGTGTGTGTGTGTGTGTGTGTGTGTGTGTGTGTGTGTCTTTTCAAGTGGATACACACACAGTGGCAAGTCAGGCATGAGAGAGTGAATAGCATTCCCAACACCTCTCAAGTTGTCCTGCCTGTAACCTCCCAGTTACCCAGTGCACTTTCAATGAACCCAGCAAACAATTAATAATGGAATCACTAAAGTAACACACACAGAGCCTGGTGACAGACCGGCAAACAAGCAAAAGCACACACCAAGTTCAACTCCATTCCAGTAACGTGACTTAAGACAATAGCGTGCTACTCTTCCCTCCTTATTTAGGGAAAGTCCGACAAAGTCAGGAGGACATATTCAAGGAACTTTTTCTAAATGAGTAACTACAGAGACAGCAGCTTATGGTTGACTGTATCAACCACACATATAAACCACAGCACAAACAGAAACAAATGTGAGTAGCAGTGAAAGAAGAGACGAACAAGCACGCAGCCTGACAAATACACGCAGAGGCGCACATCCGGAGTTCTCGCAGCGGTTCAAGAACCCCCCTCACAGATAAAAAGTGTGATCGAAGCTTCTTACTGCACAAAGGAGTGGAGCCGCCTGCATCTCCCATGCCTGCATCTTCTCATTGAGCCCAGCCCAGTGCGCACCGGTAACGAGCGCCAGGACACACACCATCTTACTGCTCCCTTCTCTCTCACTCACTCCTTGCCTATCTCTCTCGTCCTGCCCGTCCACTCGCTCCCTGCCTGCCCGGCTGCCTTCCTGTCTCACAAAGACCGTGTAGAGCTTATCTAACAAAGCAACACACTACGCACGCCGCCTCTCTCTCCCCTCCGTGCTCTCGCTCGTTCTCTCTCTCTAACTGAGAAAACAGAAATTCTTAGGCTAGCAGCTGCTGCGATGTCACATGACCTCACCCCCACCCCCTCCCCACAGTCTCCCTCACTCCTCCTCCTCCACCCTTCTCAACCTATAATTCCTCAGCCATTTGTAGATAACAGACACAGGCATGCATGCCCTGCAAAGGCGAATTGGAGGAGGGGGAGGGGAGGGAAGGAGGAGACGGAGGAGGAGGAGGAGAAACAGGGAAGGGTGCTCAGCCGGTCATCACATCTGACCTCATTGCTGGCAAGCGTCATGAAGCGTGTGCGTGTGGGGTCGTGTATGCATATGCATGAATGGAGGGGGAGCAGGTAGGTGAAATATGCGAGGCTCCCTTTTTTTTTTCCTTAAGACAAATACAAAGAAGTTAGGAGAAAGAAAGAAAGAACATGCCCTGGCCTGTGTCAAGCCCTACAACCCAACACAGAAACTCTTTTGTAAATTATTAGCCTCAATTCAACTCAGTTCAATTTGCTTTATTCACACATTTCCACAACTGAAAATTCTCAAATTAAAGTGAAACTAAGGCTATTTCAAAACAAATACAAAAAGAAAAGCATTCTTCTCCTTTTTACAGGAATCTGTAACATTTCACACAAATGAGGATGTCATACCAAAAAAAATGTATGCGCAATTTAACCTTTAACACACACACACACACACACACACACACACACACACACACACACACACGGGTTCCTTTGAGTAAACACACAGTATGCCACAATTAAAAAGAGCTGTTATCAGGGTGGGGGAGCCTAATGTGTAATAGTGGTTGGGGTGGAGGACTCAGGAAAAGGGTAAAAGTGTGGGTTTGACTTCCCCTCTCTGTCCTGCTGTCATAGCAGGGGTGTGAATGACTTGTTTTAGTCATTTCCTCCTTCCGCCACTCGCTACTTTTCTCAGAACAGCAAAGGAGCAAGTGAGCGAGAGATACAATTTTTGGGTTAAAACAACATAGTGGCCAGCATTTCGCCAAATGCCACCTCCCAGAAATCCTCTCTGTTCCTCGAGAGAAGTTTGTCCCTTGTGAACACAGGACCACCACAGTCATTGCTGTTTCCGGCCTTCTCTTCCATTTTTTGTCTAAAACCACGAAGATCAACCAGCTGGTTCTGAACAACACATCCTATCAAAGATTGGTGGTGTGTGTGTGTGCTTATGCTTCTATGTTCTGAGTAATCTACCAGCAGTCACGAGTAGCATAACTCATAAGGAATCCTTTTCTCATGGTTTAAGTCTTGCTTTGTTGCATACACACACACAATCTATCCCCCTATCAGTCTGCCCTCATTTCCTGTCACCACCATCTCTCATCCAGTAAAGTAAATACCCAGAAATGGAAAACAAACAGTGGCATTTTCCCAGTTAGCTTCCAACAACAAAACAGATAAACACCTATTACTTTAACGTACTAATGATTACAAATCATGTCATCAGTGACAGTGTGATTATATTTCTTTCTAAACTGAGAAAACACAAGCCATGCACGAGCCGTGTAGGCTCTATTTTCAGACTAAGTGAAGATGAAGACTACGATCTAAGGAAAGCATGAGTAATGTCTCTTGAATTTCCAGATAAGTGGGCCTGCTGTCATTTCTTAACATCACTCAGTTACAACACACTTGCTCAGGGTGTGCAGTGTCAGGCCTTTCATTCTTCAAACAACCAGCAGATGGCATCGTCTAACAGTCAATCAGGGGAATCCTCTGTCAGTAAAACAGCGTATGTCACAGTCCTTTAATCCAGTAATACACAAAAGAAAACGGATACAATTTAATGATATCGTTGTGGATTAAGAGAAGGACAAACCAAGGTTAAGGATGTTAACGCAACATTTACAGAGATATGAATAAATTAGATCTATTGACACTGGAGCAAACGCTGAGCATTTTTTCTGACAACCCAAGGGTTAAAGGAGTCTATTACACACCAAGCTTACTGATGCAATTAACCCTTTCTGTTACGCCCTAAGGGAAAACAAATACAAAGCCCTGAAAAAGAATGTAGACTACAACAGGCTACATACAAACATGATTCTACGCACCCACAAACGCACACACAGAACAGATTGACTGCTAAATGGCATACAGTAAACGCACTGTTTTAACACCCAGCTGGGAGAGAAGCAGATCACTAACTCCCATAGTCAAACAAACACACTGACACACACAGTTCCACCCTTTTGCTGGTTGGAATGCAGATTAGGCTTTCATGCGCACGCTCGCACACACGCGCACACACACAGGGAACGTAAATCCTCTTGGCTACTGTATGCCCTGGCCAGTGGAGAGATAATGCAGTGGCAGCTCTAGCGAGTGGTTAATCTTTAACCAGGAAGGGATTTGCCTATCAGCTTGTTAAAACTAGCAGTGTCGTGCTGCTGGCCCATCTATTTGATCCAGTCACCAACCTGTCTTGGCCAAGTCCAATACAGCACGGACTGAAACTGTACTGCCAACTGACACATGACAACTAGTGCGTTTCCACGCTTTACTTCACTCAGGCAGCAGATGCCTCTTTTCTAGAGGCATGGTAAAGCACACTTCAGTCGTGCCAC